ACTGGAAAATGCATTTATTGACTTTATCAATTCTAAAAATTCTGAATTCTACTCAGACGGAATTAATAAGTTACCAACACGTTGGGAGAAATGTATTGAGAGTATGGGAAATTATTTTGATTAAAGAACATTGCTTTAAAGTAACTAGTTTCTTTTTTTTTTGTTTAATACCAAAATCCTGCATTATTTTCCGGACAACCCAATATCACACCTCGTCTGAACTTAATCATACGACCCTTTACAGTTCCAGGCGCGACGATGAGATTTGTGGTGAGATGACAAAAGAAGACGAGGTCAAAGATCTTTTCGAACTCCCTGAAGAATTGCTCGAAGTCATATTGAGCCGGTTGTCCGTGAAAGACCTCGTCTCCTGTTCAAAAGTGTCAAAAATGTGGAGGATAGGCGTGAATCTGAACAGCATCTGGAAGAACATTTGCCGGAACGAGGGCTACTCGGATAAACTGATCAACACGACTCCGCCCCATTTGTTCATAGATCAACCCAAAGAAGGTAAATTTGTTAACTTCAGCATTAATATTGTTCTTACTTTCAATTAATTAAGGTTTTTAGTTGAGATAAAGAAGTTAGTGTCACGAACGGGATTCGAACCCACGACCTTCGGCTCGATACGCCGCTCCTCTACCACTTGAGCTATCGTGACCTCGATCCACTCGGACACTAACTCAACCCCACCTTTTTGTTCGAATCCCTCTCGTGACACTGACTTTATCTCAACTAAAAACCTTAATTAATTTAAAGATGTTAATTGGTCAAGGGGGCCACGAAGAATCATTTATTGCGTGTTTAAGTAGTCGTTTTAGAAATACAGCTTTTTCAATCTAAAAATAAACCCGTGATTTGCTATTACAAGGGCTTAGGGAATTTAACGGAATTTAACAGTCGGCCTTGCGGATTGAATAAGGCAAATAGCGGGGCTTATTTACTTTAAAACATTAAGTTCTATGGACACACAATCAATTTAGGTTATAACCAGAGATTTCAGTCTGAGTCGTGAATAGAATTTACAACCGTGAACTAAACTTAAACAATACCAAATCCTTTGATTTAGCTAAATATATATTTTTTTTAATTCATTTCTTCTTTATTAGAAAATTGAAGACGAAAAACAAAATATTTGGTACAGAATAAAAAAACTTATACGTTTTGTAAAGGTTCATTTTGTAAATAGATAGTGAAGAAAAGAAGATCGATTGTGACTTGGAACCACTCTGCTACTGGAGAAGAGTTTTCGGACGTTTCAAAGAACTGGCAAGGAACTGGCAGGATAAGAAATTCCAGAGGTTCAGATTGTCAGAAGGTTCGAGCCCAGTTCACTGCCTCGACAGTGACGGTGTCACTGCTGTCACAGGCCACGAGGATTCGACCATCTCTGTTTGGTATAATATTCTGTAAATATCAACTCTTTATTTAATACACTTTTTTTGCTTTAGGTCTGTTCTGTCGGTACCGCATCTTAAGCAAAAAATAAAAGCCGTGCTTTCCGGCTATCCGATAACATCGGTCAAGACGACGACACGTTACGTAATAGCGGTGCAAAAGAAGCTCCTGCTCGTTTACACGAAAGAAAACGAAAATTACAAACTGACGGATATCAAAAGTTTCGAGCTCGGTGAGGATAACATAGAGCAGATGGAGAAGCTGAAAGCCCTCGGGATGGAATATTCGTCATGGTATAAAGAGACTATGAGGATCAATGAGGACCATACTGCTTTGACTATAAGGCCGTTGCTGTATGCCATCGTAGATGACCATTTGTACGCTTCGTGCTGTGGAACGGGCATTGTGCGGATGTGGACCCTTCCCGGCAGTGAGTTCGTTTCCTGCAAAGCGGGACTGTCGGAGATCCAACAAATAGAGACAGACGGGACGAGCCTCTTCTTAGTCGTTCACACGGAGATCACCCACCTTCTTAAATACTCCAAAGAAGATGACGCTGTTAAAATGCTCCTGTCCGTCCCCGGTCTTAAAAGGTTCGTGATAGGAGAGAAACTAGTAATGGCATTCCCACTTCCAGGCGATATATGCCTCAAGAGGTTATGGGTTTGGAAGAAAGACGACTACTCGCAACCTGTCGGCACGAAGACAATCGGTTCTTCTCACTTCTCCGCCATCCTGGTCCAGTCAGTTTATATTATTTACTCCGAGGATTCCATGATACACGTATGGAATCCAGTGCAGAATACAATACTAATATCGTTCTCGGTCGGATCGGTCGTCGGTTTCATCAGGGAAGGATTCGGTTTCACTCTGGTCGTTTTCATGACTTCAAGCCTTCACCTCTGGGATTGGAAGTCCGGAAAACGGCTTTATAGGTTTTACACCGGCCTGGAATGGACCGGCAATTACAAAAATCTCGTCTGGGTCAATTGTTCCATGCTCCTCTCCGCCGGCGTACACAACCAACTTGAAATGTTGTCGTTTTGGTAGAAAAAAAAAATTTTACTTCGTTTTTATATCTTTTCAAGTGTAAAATATAATGTTACTTTTTTCATTTTTGTTATCAATAATAGCATATGTTAATTTAACTATCACATGTTTAAATGTCAAGGATAAAACCGAATGAACAAAAAAAAATTATAATCACTAATTTCGTGGTTCGCTTGACCAATTAATACATTACAATTAATTAAGGTTTTAGTTGAGATGAAAAAAAATTAATGGCACGAGCAAAGGAGGGAAAACTCATAAGGTGGGGTTGAGATGGGAAGTTAGTGTCCGAGTGGATCGAGGTCACGATAGCTCAAGTGGTAGAGCAGCGGCTTATCTAGCCGAAGGTCGTGGGTTCGAATCCCGCTCGTGACACAGACTTTATTATCTCAACTAAAAACCTTAATTAATTGAAAAAAAGTACTCATATTATTAATTTACACACAGAATAAAACAAAAAATAACATTCCTTGAAACTTCAAAACGTTGAAAAATGAAGTGAAAAGGTGGGGTTGAGATGGAAAGTTAGTGTCCGAGTGGATCGAGGTCACGATAGCTCAAGTGGTAGGGCAGCGACGTATCTAGCGGAAGGTCGTGGGTTCGAATCCCCCTCGCGACACAGACTTTATTATCACAACTAAAAACCTTAATTAATTGAAAAAAAGTACTCATATTATTAATTTACACACAGAATAAAACAAAAAATAACATTCCTTGTAACTTCAAAACGTTGAAAAATGAAGTGAAAAGGTGGGGTTGAGATGGAAAGTTAGTGTCCGAGTGGATCGAGGTCACGATAGCTCAAGTGGTAGAGCAGCGGCGTATCTAGCCGAAGATCGTGGGTTCGAATCCCGCTCGTGCCATTAACTTTTTTTCATCTCAACTAAAAACCTTAATTAATTCTAAAAAAATTATATTTATTGAAAACTTGTAAGTTCTAAGAAAGGTAGTTCCATTTATTACAGTTTTGTTCATAAATCTAAATTGTTGACATGAATCAGACTTTCAGGTAGTAAAGCCCCGGCTATCTTCTAGCTGTCTAGGCTAAGTAATATTGTAAAAAATATAAAGTACATTAATCGTTTAAGGTTTATGTTAAAAGTTATAAGAATAATTAGCAGGTTTTCGAAATTAAAAACAATAAACACAGAAACCTTATACAAATTTTGTATAATGTTTACGGAAAAATATGCAAATGCTCGGCAGAAAATCCTAGGGAAAATTCAAAACTTTAAAACAGTCATAACATAAATATTACAAAGGGAGGCTATGGACGTGGGTGCGCGGATTTTAATTTAAAAATTTTCGCCGATAATATGTCAAAATATTGGACAGGTGCCCGTGCGTTTTTTCCAAAGAGCCCTACGAAAGTCAAATATTTTAAGCAATTTTGTCACTTTTTTAAAATTTAGTTTTCTGCTTTTCTTTTGCTTGTATAAGGTTATTATAATTTACTTGGTTAATGTCAGACAAAATTTCATGTGGTTTTTTTTAAATAATAAAAGAAAAAATTTATTTAATATCCATATTTTCAGCAATAATAATAATAAGACAGATACTATAATTAATTACTTAATTTCTAATCCTAAATAAAATTTTAAAAAATCAGTATATTATATCAGTATATAGCACAGAAGGTTAAAATATTTTACTAGCATTAAATAAATGCTGAAGTTGGGAAAATAGCGAAAAAGCAAATTAAAAAATTTCGTAAATTCTTCTCCAGTCCAATAAAACTTAAATTACATAATTTTCCTGTAATTTGGTTATTATGTATAATCTACATACCACACATTTGTTTTGTTCTGTGGATAAATTAATAATGTGAGTACTTTTTTTCAATTAATTAAGGTTTTTATTTGAGATAAAAAAGTCAGTGTCACGAGCGGATTCGAACCCACGACCTTCGGCTAGATAAGCCGCTGCTCTACCACTTGAGCTTTCGTGACCTCGATCCACTCGGACACTAACTTCCCATCTCAACCCCCACCTTTTTACTTCATTTTCAAGGTTTTGAAGTTTCAAGGAATGTTATTTTTTGTTTTGTTCTGTGGATAAATTAATAATATGAGTACTTTTTTTCAATTGATTAAGGTTTTTAGTTGAGATAAAAAAGTCAGTGTCACGAGTGGGATTCGAACCCACGACCTTCGTTTAGATACGCCGCTATTTTACCACTTGAGCTATCGTGACTTCGATCCACTCGGACACTAACTTCCCATCTCAACCCGGGGTTGAGACATTTAAAAAATGGCAAAAAGTAGGGAAAATTCAAATGATGGGGTTGAGATGGGAGTGAAAAATGTTGATGACTTTAGAATAACTACGTCGATCCACAAGATACTTTAGAAGAGTTTTAAACTTTATAATTTACAAGTAACATCGCAACACTGACTTCATTTTTTTTAAAGTAAATAAATAATATTTATTACCATCTATATATCTGTAGGAAGAAAGTATATGATTTAGGTATAGTGGTGGTATTATTCCACGTAGAGGGTAAAAGTTATATGTCGGATTTTATATACATATTCTTTTATCCGCCACTTTTTTCAGCCATGGATCTATGTTATTTAGGTGAATCTGTAAGAAGCGATTTGATTGGATCTTTAATGGAGAATAATAGCAGTATATCCGCAAAATTGTGAATGGATTGTAAGGAGGTCAGCAATATACGTTAAATAAAGGATGGGCCCTAGGATAATACCCTGTGAGACTCCAGCCTTAACAGGGTAGTCAGATAAAGATGTTCCTTGGCTGACCTGAATGAAGCGGCCAGTCAGGTATGACCTAAATATCAGGAAGTAAGAGAAGAATGCTTATGCAGGAAGAAGGATGCTTTTGGGCTTTCACAGCAGACCGTATCAAAGACTTAAGCCACATAAAAAAAAGCACCAGAGCAGTACTGTTTTAGCTCAAGAGAGGAAAAGATAGCGTCTATAACACGGTGGCATAGCTAGATTGTTAAGTGATGTTTACGGAAGACAAACTGGTAAAATGAGATATTTTGTCCTTCTAGGATGGGAAGCATTTTTTTTTTTCAAAAAGAGCTTCTCGAGGATTTTTCCTAATATATGTAAGAGATTTTTCGGGCGATAGGATTGAGGTAAATGGTTAGGTTTTGGGATCATTTTTACAATGGAAAAGATCCATTGTAAAGGAAGGTGAGTTTTTATGGATCGAAAGATTTCAGAATTTATAAGGACCTATCTTGGAGCTTTCTTTTTGGAAAGGTTTTTTATAACTGGATTTTTAAAGGATGAAAAGCTTTTTGTGTTAAGGAAAGAAATAGTGGCTGTCTAGTTCCTTATCAATTTTTTTTGTATATTAGTATTAATATTTATACACTTTTTGTTTTAAAAAAATTTACTGAAATGGGTGATCCCACATCGGTAGCTCTTGTTAGATAGAATAAACTCTCTAAAACCAATAAATGGCCAAATTGTTCGAATTAATTACATTTCTTAATTAACAAATCAAATAAATTATATTTCATCCAATTGCACAATCGAGCGGTATAGAATAAATGTCCAAATTTCAATTTGAAGAAAGTCTATCGTTTTAGATATCCAGGGTTGTCACAAAAAGGAAAGTTGCTCAGAAAAACAAAATTAAACTTGCCCACAATACTCTCAGGAAAGGAAAACAATTACTCCTTCTTTTTTTTTAGCTTCCTTTAAATTGTATCTGTCTGCTTTCAGGACAATTGACAAATTCATGATAAAAGGTCAAATATTGTTTTCTTTGTTTAGTATTTAATTGAAAATTCATTTTTAATTATCAAATTATATAATTATACAATAACAATGAATATTGGTTTTATATGATTGTATTCTAAAAGGATTTTTTAAACGTTAATAAGGAAAGTTATATCGAAAGCAACGCCCAAGAGTCAATTTATTTTTATTTTATTTTTCAACATGAATGTGCCAGGATTTGAATAATATTTTTCCGCCTTATCTGTTCTACAAATATTTTACGAAGACTTTTTCCTGAAGGGAAAATATGTTTCCCCGTCTTCGATTTTAAAAGATTTCTATCCCCATTGAATTGACTTCGTTGACGTAAGCCACTGAAGCCGTACTTGGTTGATTTCATCTTTATATTTCTCCCTTGTAATAGCATCAAATCTAAACATTTTCGCCATCTAATAAAAGAAAAGAAATTACTCTTTCAGACACTTGTAATAACTTACAATTAATTAAGGTTTTCAGTTGAAATAAAAAAGTCAATGGCACGAGCGAGATTCGAACCCACGATCTTCGGCTTGTTACGCCGCTACTCTACTATTTGAGCTATCGTGGTAAAAAGGAGGGAATGTTCAAAAGGTGCGGTTGAGATGGGAAGTTAGTGTCCGAGTGGATCGAGGTCACGATAGCTCAAGTGGTAGAGCAGCGGCGCATCAAGCCGAAGATCGTGAGTTCGAATCTCGCTCGTGCCATTGAATTTTTTATCTCAACCAAAAACCTTAATTAATTGTAATATATTAATTGGTCAAGCGGACTACGAAATTAGTGAATCTTGTAATAACGTTAAATTTTTGCATAAAATCGAGAGGAATTACGAATTTTCAAGTGGAACATCCGGACGTCCGTTCAAAAAAATTCCTCCTTCCAAAATCAGAACTGTTTAATTGCCTAAAAATCTATATTTTTCTTTTGATATAAAATTTCATATTTAAAGCAATATTGTAAAGTAATTATTTAAGTACAGGTTTGAAAATGGAGGGTAAATAAAAAAAAATTACGAGGGTATTTCAACTACTTTCATTTCTTTATTTAAAATTTTTCAAAGCAATCAACCTCCCTTTGTTGGAACTGGGGTTAACAAGTATGTTTTTTTTATTTCAACCTCAAAAGTTTAACTTCTGATTTTTCCTTCTCGAATGTGGGGTAATAGGTCATCTCAAAAAAAAAACAGCTTTTTTCAATCCACACGTTTCGGATTTATTTTAATCCTTCCTCAGGCGAGTTAACGAAGTGGTTAAAACGGTCGTCCGTCAGTAATATTTTGTAACAGCTTATTTTAAATGAAGCCAGTGTGATTCATATTTAAGTCCTTCAG